AGAGAGAGAGAGAGAGAGAGAGAGAGAGAGAGAGAGAGAGAGAGAGAGAGAGAGAGAGAGAGAGAGAGAGAGAGAGAGAGAGAGAGAGAGAGAGAGAGAGGAGAGAGAGAGAGAGAGAGAGAGAGAGAGAGAGAGAGAGAGAGAGAGAGAGACAACGGATTTTGAACGTGTGCCTGTGTGTGCCTTTGAAGTTTTGGAAACAAAGTTACTGTTGTTTTCGAAATGACGCTTTAATGAATGACGCTTTCTTTTATTGGATTTATAAAACTGGATGCTTACATGGATCCAACAAAAAATAAATAAATAACAAGCTAACTGGACAAAGTTACCTATTGCTTTAACGTCACTACTCATTTCAAAAGCTTTTGTCAGCCATGAAAATGTCTGCAGTTCAAAATTTTGATCGGTTGAGTCACCCAAAACAGAATACAGATTGCATGTACATATTTACCCGTCTTTTGTACTGAAAGACTCCAACGGAATTAAATTAATTCACCTGTTCCCCTTTCCTGCGCGACCCCAATGTGGGGTTCTTTGTTGTCCTCCACTGACCAGTGACCGTGTCTGTGTAAATAGCTGTAATACGCAGGGGTCGATTGGTCGCGTGTCGCCCTGTGTGGGTGCTGAAGGCCGGCATTCGATCTTTGTGTGTGTGTGTCTCTGTGTGTGTGCCGCCTGCCGAGGGCCGGCGCTCGGTCCTTGTGTGTATGTTGCCTGCTCGAGGGCCTGCCCCCGGTCCTTGTGTGGGTGCTGACTGGTGCGGCGCCCCGTTCGTGTGGGTGCGCGTGTTGCCCGGAGTGACGCGCGCGCCGCGTGCTGGGAGTGCGGTCCACACTCCCGGCGCCGTTCTGTAGTGTGTCATTAGCGACCGTAATGGTGATGACCGGGAGTCGGGTGGTGTCAAACGCAGCTGACACAGTGACAAGGTCACGGCGCTCTGTTTGTCACCTGAGACAGCGCAATGGAGACATGGCGTGTCGAGTGTCTGCGGACTCACGGAAGCCTGCACTCTGCATTGTCACAAAGTCAGCTTTCTTGACGAGCTCCATGCACTGAATAAGTACAGGGTGACACAAAAAAAACGGTCATCACCAAATTTCGAATAACTTCGGAAGTTTTATTCAGATCATCACCAAACTTCGGCCACTTAAGGTCACACCTATGTAGCATACATCCACCAAGTTTCAAGTCTTCACTACGAATACTTTTAGTACAGTGTGTGTTTTACTGATGCCCCACAATGTGCTCCAGGTGAGCGCCACGGCGCTGCGGGGCGTAGGCACACTTGCATCCGGCGGGCAAAGTTGTCGATAACCCGATGGCTGTGCACTTTACAGAGTGCAATGGCCTCCGGAGACAGTGCTCAGGGGGTGTGCTACCCCTGAAATGTTATTCTTATCGGGTTATCGGCAACTTTGCCCGCCGGATGCAGGTGTGCCTACGCCCTGCAGCGCCGGGGCGCTCACCTGGAGCACATTGTGGAGCGTCCGTAAAACACACACTGTACTAAAAGTATTCGTAGTGAAGACTTGAAACTTGGTGGATGTCTGCTACATAGGTGTGACCTAAAGTGGCCGAAGTTTGGTGATGATCTGAATAAAACTTCCGAAGTTATTCGAATTTTGGTGATGACCGCTTTTTTTGTGTCACCCTGTATGACGGAAATGAATGCGTGAATGTGTGTTCCTTGTTTGGTACATCTCATCAGATATAGGGCCTAGGGGAACATTAATTAAAGTTGACACTTGTTGACCACTAGACCACTTGAAGCTAATTAAGCCTGTCTATCTATCGCTCGAGTTTCAGCTGAGTTGCTATCCTAGAAGTTAGGTACCAGCAACTCCTTGAAGACCAGGCGGGTTTTGCAGACGTGTTCATACTCACAAATTTAAGGGAAATGTGTTTCGCCCTTTCAACCTGACTGCACTGTTGTGTTTGGACTGTATGACCAGAGAAGTTTCGTCTCACTCTTGATGCCAAAATGCTTATGGTGCGATACATTGCGGGTCTCGAAACTTCTGCAACCCTACAGTTTAACGTTTAGTTTTGACCCCGCCCTGGATTGCATACGAGCAAGTAACTCCTGTCACCTGACACCTCCACACTTAACCTATATTTCACAGGAATGGCCCCTGCTTCAGCATCCACCGTTTTGAGCGGTTTGCTTTGTTTACCGAAGTTTACGAAATGTGTCGTCCCCTTGAACCCCGAAGGCTGTAAAAACTTGTAAACGGTCTTTATCATTTAGATACTCGTAGTTCCAAAACTAGAGCGAAGAAGTAGCTCATCATAGCAGGTCTTTGTATGTATGTATGTACACCAGTAAATGCTGGGAATATTTTCCTCGGTAGCTGTATCAAAGGTGACCTTGCATAAAGTTGACCACGGTCTTCAAACGAACCAATAAATTTTAATGAAATTTTCAGGGCAGCTGCCCCCGCAGATTATCTACTACGAAACACCCTCAGCTAAGAATATAATTATTTTTCTTGCACGTGGCACGTGCACGTGTTTTAGGCCCATAGGCTTCAACATTAGGTGGATTTTCGGCATCGCATTTCTCGCAGACGGGTGCTTGCAATGCGATGGGCTTCTGTGCTGGGTGGCCGCCCCGGCATCTACCATGAGCCCGGAGCCGGTGGCGCCGTTCCCTCATTCGTCGCCCAAAGTTTTGTGGTTCGGTCAGAACGGACGATGAGGGTACCCATAGTAACGCATCAGCTGCATACAACTTTTCACCCCTTGCACTGAGTCAATGATAAACGTTGTTCGGTGAGGAATAATTGTTGGTATTTTAACAGTCAACAGGAAGTAGCGCGATATTTAGGTAAACGTTGGATAATGATTCATTAAAAATGAATGCGTCTATTGTCGTTGAATTTCAGTGCAGAATAAATAGTCGTAAATAACAACATATCATAAAATGAAAAAAACTCCTTTGGGTGCGTCTTTTTCTCTATCCTAGTCACAATTTGCTGTCGCAACTTCCATGCAGCATGCAAATATAATACGCAAAACAACGGAGCAGTATGATTTGTTTAGAAATCACTAATTAAATATAAACATCACTGCCCTTAGATGATAAACTGCTGACAATTTGCGATTTTTTCAATGCGAATAATTCTTGCTTCGTTCCTTTGCAGATTCATGGTGAATTGCCACAAGCTAGGTCGTCAGTTGATTGTTTACATAGTTAAACATCTATCAATTTACGAGCGTAGAGGAATGACCATTTATAAAACGCTCGATTTCAGTTGTTTATACTCGTAAACAAATATTTTCCTGTGATGAGAAACCTATGACCTGTCAACTTTGTCTTGAATGTAGGGTTGTGGTTCTATACCTATAGGTGCTGACACCTTACAGTTATCTATAGAATAACACACAAAGCTTTGCATGCATGGCGGCATTGCTAATTGCTATTCATCAAAATCGAATTTTTCTGTGCGTGGAAGGTGCAGTCAACCGGTTAGGAAGGCTAAAGCCTAAAAGGGATCTAATAGCAATTGATGACGCTACTCAACGCAAATAAATCAATAGCTTGGGCCCTAATAATTCGGCATCAGTTATAGGGGAGAGCGGGGCCAGTTGAAACACGGGGTCAGATGAAACATGGCTTTATTTTCAACAATATGCAACATATGGCGTTGCCGACACCACTGCGCATCTGCGCTCGACCACTTCCTTTGTCAACGGCGTTTGGTCGGCAAACGGACTGTAATTTTGATTTGACATTTGTTTTTGTGTTTTTGAGGGGCGTTTGGGAGAAATCGTTTTTATGAATATTTTGTGATATCTCATATACCTTTGTTTGCTGAAAGAAGAACTCCTGGCTCCGGAATAACACCTTATCTGGCCCTTCATTCAGCATGATGCCGTCCCTCCAGCTCGTTTGACATGTGCTTTACGGCGCGTGCGAGATGGCGGGAGCGGATGGGGTCAATTGAAACGCTTCTCTGAGGGTCAGTTGAAACAGGGCCACAGGCCGTTTCAATGGACCCCGGTGACCTTTGCAATGGTTATTGTTCAGGGTCTGTAAACATCAAAGGAAATAGTCCACCTTTGAAATGAGCTTTTAAACTGAAATAGTAGTTAAATAGAGCTCAATTTTTGACCACTTTTTCTCCAGCTTTTTGCTTAAAGGCACACTATAGCCTGAGATATTTCTCATTTTTCTCATCCGCCCATTTTACCATAGTCTATGTACTTTATGTCACCTATTATGAGGAACTTTGCACTTTTAGCTTTCCAACGACGTATTGAATGTAGCATTTGGAAAAGTAAACCGGACAAAATATCTCCTTAAGAAAGTGGCCTTAAAGAGGAAAACATCCCATTGTTAAGGATAGGTGCAATTGACCCCATGGGCTGGTTCAATTGACCCTCGCATCGGGGTCATTTGAAACGGGCGTAGAGCTGTTTTATAAGCATGCGTTTGGCAGCAATATATGTTTGAAACATAATTTTACATATCTTAAAATAAAGCCAAAAGAGCATATTTTTTCATGGCATTGTGCATTTTTCGATATGACAACTAGATCTCGCTGTGCATGTCAATATATAAAGAGTGGTTCAACTGGCCCCGCTCTCCCCTACTGCCGAATTTGGGCGGGTGTAGAACTGAAGCGGACCCATCCAATGAGCAGACGCGGTCGATTGCTGCAGCGTTTTAGTTTTATTAGGTGGATCCGTTTCGAGGCTTGTGCAGGTTCAGCTCGATTAAATGCATTACTATTTTTATCGCCTGGCGAACCGTGCGGATCACTAAAAAGTAAAACGCAACGCAATGTGGCTACATAAGTTTTTGAATAATAGGATCTATGGCTGTCGGGGCGAATCCTCGGTGTTCATTGAAATTATTTTAGTCTTCCTCCCCCGTTCCCATGTTCTCATCTCTTTCTTTATCTTTTAATCTACCTCGACTATCTGTCAGTCAGCTGTCTGTCCATTTGCCTGTCTGTCTGTCTGTCTGTCTCCTCCGACTCTCCCGTCGACCTCACCTCTGCGTTGTAGGTTTGATCGCCTGTACGAGGCCGACTTTCCGCCGTTTCCAGACCGCCGGCCTCATCTGCAGCAGGCAGACGGTGAGTGCGCCGAGCAGGATCGCTCCTGCCGGCGTGCCCAGACCGCCGAGCAGCAGCCGACCCGCCTCTCCGGCGCGGAAATCGGTCACCGCCAGACTGGTGTTGGTGCGGCTCACGTAGCAGGGGAACGTGCTGCCCGGCCGGGCGTAGCGCAGCTCGAACGCCGAACAGTTGACCCGCGGAGGGTAGCCGCACGTCTTTACATTCACCTGGAGCACGGCCCAGTGCGGCCCAGGCCGCCTCGGCCAACTCGTAAGTCACATACACGTGCACACACTGGTACAGCTCACTGGTGCAGCCCTCGCGACACGAGCTCCACGAGCAGTTGGAGAGCGTACTGTAGCGTTCGACGCGCTCGGTGCGGCACGCGGCCGCCACCGGCGCGAAGTCGGCGCGCAGCGTGGCCACGGCCGGGTCCACCACGAGCGGCACCAGAAACAAGCAGCGTCATGGCGCCGCCCATGACGAAGCAGGGCGGCCAGCCAGAGCACGGCGCCGCGCAGCCGCTGGCTGAGCGGCGTACGGGGCCGCGTGGCCTGCTGCCGCTGCTGGCGCAGAAGGTGCGACACGTTCACGGTCGGGGAGACGGCGCCGGCCGGCGGCGGCGGCTGCGGCGGCGGGCTGGCCGGCGACACCCCGCGCGCGCCGTCCGGTAACACCACAGCCGCCCTGGCGGCCGCCATCGCGCGGCGGCGGCGGAGGCGTCCGCTGCCGGCGGCCACCGAGCGCCGAGTGGTGACGCCAGCGGCGGCGGCGGCGGCGGTGGCGGCCACAGCGCGACACCTGCCGGGCCAACCTGATCAAATATGCACAGGAGCGGCGGCCGGTCGCCATCCAACACATCGATTGTCGTGCTGCGCCGCAGCGGGGCCAGCTGCGTGTGTCCGACCGGCGACGGAGGGCAACGGGTCGCAGCACATCTATCAGCGGGGCTAGCAGGACGGAAAGCCGCCGCGCGGGCTTAGCAGGGCAGGTCACAGCGGCACACTTTAGTATCAGCGGGGCTGACAGAAAGGAAAGTCGCCGTATACGGGATTAGCGGAGAACGTTAAGCTCACGGGTCCCAGCGGCAGTCATCAGCGGGACTACCAGAACGGAAAGCGTGTGCGCTGAGTGGCCATATCGATTTAGCGGGACAGGCGAGTCAGGTCGTAAGGCTGGGAGTGATTAGTCTCTCAGGACTTTAAGCCGGATTGACCCAGTGTGTATTAGGCCATGGCCTAATACCGTCAGACGGACAGAATGCAAAAGACGAGCTCTATTTTGGACTTTTTTTGCGACGACGTGTTAACATTTATGATACTTGCCTGTTTCGCGGATATCATATGTGTCGATCATGTCATTCAACGTTTTTGCACGGTGCAGTATTTATTAAAAGCGTATAAAATATAACTGTCGGTATGAAAGAAACAATGCCACATGATTGTAACACTATAATAGCACCGATGAAGGTGACACTGACGACTAGCCGACATATTGGTATACATGTCATGTATACCACGTACGTAGAACGCCTTACTAAAGTAAACAATACATATTAGCATTCTCCAGTAGCCATGGGTAGCTACCTGGAGTTCATTCCAAAATCCAAAATGTCTAAAATCGAACAGTAGCTCGTAACGAAGTTATTAAAGTTAACTGCTATGATCAACTTATTCTTAAATTTCTGCCAGTGGGATCGTACCAAGGCCGGCCTGACGTCGCATATATAACACTCGGAACGATCTCCCATACCCTGCATTTTGCACCGTGCCAGAGAACCCGGGCGTCATCCCGGACCGACCAGGTCAGGTCAGGTCAAGCTGGGTCAGCTCAATAAAGCCAGACGCAGCAGACGTGGCCGGCGGTCGGACAGAAGGCGTTCGGATGGCGCGGAGCCCCGCCGCAGCTTGCCGCAGTGGTGCACTCGCCGCCGAAGGTGCCGCACTCCAGCGCGTGGCTGGTGTATTCTGCCGGAGCGACATTTGATCGGTCAGAGGAAATTGATGGCTGATACGTGTTTACAACTTATGACGGCTACTGAGGTCAAACTGCTACTGGGATGACAGCAGACCTGTCACCGAGTGACTGACAGCAGTTGCAGTTAGTTACAGAGACATTTACCTACTGTTTTACTTTTAACTGGCAGTGACACTTAAACTGTGACAATATAATGTAATTTTAACATACCACTTGAGCTTTAAGTGCAGTGCTCTGAATTCTTTGACGAGCGACAAGGGTAGACTCAGAAGATTGGAGATAAGGAAAAGAGAGACTCAATACTGGAGGAATGAAGACATATTATAAGGAGACTGTGACCGGGGAAGGTCACGGGAGAGGGAGGACCGGGTGCACCTGTGCGATGGTAAGCCCGCTCACCCAGGAAGCAGCAGTCTCGGCCGGTTCCACAGAGGCCCGGCACGGGCCGCTGCCAGTCGGGACAGCCCCCAGTGGGCAGGCACTGGCCGCCGGCGCCGACACACCCCTCCTGGCCGAGAGGCGCTGTGGACACGGGACAGTTCAGCTGTAGAGGGCGTGCAATGTTGCACCGGGGCTGGACCCTGCACACTGCACAGGACATAGTAATGGACTTTGTAGCTACCTGCAGCATTTAAAAATCGCTATGAATATGAAATGAACGGTAAATCAGGGGTCAAATTAGATATTGGCAACTACAGTGCGTAAACAGACACGACAAAAACAAATAACAACTTTGCAATTGGAATGCTTAAATCCAAATGCAGTAGCGTTTACTTACGTGCAGCAGCGGCCAGCGCGCCCGGAGCTCCCACCACCAACAGAGTGAGCGCGGCAGCAGCCACCGTGGAGAGCATGGCGTCTTCTCGTGGATGCTAATGTAAGTACCGGTCAGCGGTATAGTCCGACACTCGGCTGTCTCCGAACACAACTGTGTGTGTCGCCGGCACCTTTATACAGTCACTACCTGCGTGACAGCTGTGCCAAGTTGTGACGTCATCGATCGTGAGGGATGCGGGTCTGCGAGGGATAACGATATGATAAAAAGGTAGCTCGCTGACGGGCCAACCTCACCGGTTGAATGGCCTCCACCAATGGAGCTCGTCGGCAGAGGGTGTGAACGGCGCGGGCGGTGTCAAACAGCCCCTGCAGTTCAGATCAATGACCTCAACCGAGCCCGCATCGATACACACAGAGACACATGCGTGTTAATGACATGCAGTAGGGTAGGACGCTATATTTTAACGGCGTAATGTATACATAATCGGTTACAATGGCGAACTAAGTAGCTTAGCTCGACACATAACAGAGGTGCACCAATGCAAAGGTAACGAATACCTAATGCTAACATAATGTAACGAACCATAGACCCGGGAACAGGGGGGGGGGGCAGCGGGGGCGCTTGCCCCCCCCCCCAACTTGAGAGCCGAGGGGGCGGCGCCCCCTCAACATTGTGGCAGCGAGAAAAGATCTTTCCTCCCTTTTCCGGACTTTTTTCCTTCTTGTTTCCTTCATACATCTACGCATCGACACATGGCATTTTCCTTGCCATCTGAATGGTTTCTGCTGATACAGTAGGTATCGATTTGACAACATCTGCTATTGACTATTGTCATCCCGCTTTGATTTGGGCTTGATCGTGGCCATAAGTTTGGCAGGCCAGATTTTATACTGCACCAGCTTGAATCAACTTTGAGAAATACATAACGTACAACGGTGGTAAAATCGTTGCTATTATAGGTATAACACAGTTTACCCGCTCCGGATGTGATGGAGGGGTGTGGGGCAATGAGTGCAATGACGTGGCGCTCTCGGAGGGCCGGTATGGGATTAAAGCTCAGCGACACTAAGGGCTTGTGTGGTGCCTTCGGTTATCGGTAGCACCCCCAGAATCACCGGCGTAGGGCCCCCAGAGCCGCCGGTAAGGGGCCTTTAGAGGCACTGGTGTGGGGCCGCCATGCAGGTGCCGGTGTGGGCGCTCAGAGGCGCTAGTGTGATTCTCTCAGAGGCGCCGATGAGGGTCCTTACAAGTTACAGGCGTTGCTGTGGATCCTCATAGACGCTGGTGTGGGGCCGTTACAGACGGGTGTGGGGCCTTTAGTGGTGGATCCTCATAGACGCTGGTGTGGGGCCGTTACAGACGGGTGTGGGGCCTTTAGTGCTGCTGACGCGAACTCTCTACAAGCCGGCAGGGAGTCTCAGTGACTGGCAAGGGGACCTTACGCCGGCAGAAGAAGTCCTGTGGGGTCCTTAGAGACAGGCCCTCATAGGCGCCGACGAGGGCCCCACAGATGCCGTTATGGGGCCCTCAGAAAATTAAGTGTGGGACCATCACAGGCGGGAAATGCCCCTAGAACTGGCACCTCATAGGCCGGTAAGACCTCTCAGAGGCCAGTAATGGGCCTTTGGAGATCACTGAGGTGTCCTTAAAAGCCGCAAGAGGCCCTCAGACGCCGGCGTCGGACCCTTATGGAGATCTTAGTGTGGCTATTTAGGGTCCATGAGGTGCTCTGACGAGCCCCATGGGGCCCTTCTGAGTAGAAATATGGCCATCGTTAACCTTCAGCGGTCAAATGGCGCCGCAGGGCCCCTCAGACCCGAGGGTCCCCTTTATCCCGATGGGGGGGGGGGGGTAAGTGTCCCCTTAGACCCCTAGCTTCGCCACTGTTTCAATATGCATCATGTAAGGTATTTTAGGCTCGCCCCCCCAACTTGAAAATCGTTCCCGGGTCCCTGTAACGAACTGCGCATAAGCAAGGCAACAGCAATAAAACGCATAGCAAATGACTCCGTTTCCGTAGCTTGTGTTCATCATGCAGGCTGAATGTAACTGAGAACTGATCAGTAGACATAATCGAAGAAATGAAACAACAAAAACTTTTACTTCGTCATAATAGTACACAACAGGCCAGATACGAGTATAATCTTAGTACAATTACAAATACCATGTTCTATGATCTCTGTGTTGTCTATAGTTACTTGCCAGATTTCTCTTCTCAGCTGCAGCGAAAGACCTCAGCGCCTTTGGCAACGAGCGAAACAGTAAAATGGAAACGCAATGATGGTCTGGACGTATATAGTCCAACTCCTTGGTCCAACCTCCAGATTTACGAAGTTCACCCTGGCCACTGCCTTGGACTTCCTCCTCCAGCATGTAAGGCACCCCGCTCCGTTTTCAAAGGCAATGGCGAGAAGACGTGAGCTCACCAGCAGTCGCTGAACGTCCCCTGTCTTCTCTACAGCGGTATATCCGCCAGAGAGACGAGTATCTTGTCGAGAACTGAGCAGCGCGTCGTGGCATACACCGGCTGGAAGCAGAGCGGACAGGCCTCTGACTGTCGTCGCCGACTCTCCACACTGACACACGCCTCACAAAACGTGTGAGAGCAGCTCAGAGTGACGGGACGTTTGAACACGCCTTTGCAGACGACACACTTCATGCACTCCAGCTGTGTGCTGAAGAGCTTCTTGAATCGAGCCAGATCTCGGACATGTTGTTCTTGCTCTTCGAGCAACTGCTTGACTTGAAGTTTGAGCTTCTCCTTGCATGTTCTGGGCTCCTGTTGCAGAGAGCTAGCACTCGTATAATAGTGCCCTGGGTCGGTGTCCCCCTCTCCCTGGCGCTCGATCTGCCTCTCTATGTGCTGAAGCCGCTCTCGGCGTTTTTGGCGCTCCTGTTCACGCTGGACCTTCCGAAGCCGAAACTGCTGCAGATATTCGATCAGTTTCTGCTCATCTGAGAGCCCATCGGACTGCTCCTTCCGGACTCTGGCGTCCACTGCCGCTCCCAGCTCTCCACAGTGTTCTGCTTCAGCAGTACTGCCGCCTCCCGCATACTCAGCGGCAGCCATGTTCCGGGCGGCAAACTGGGCCAGCGCCTCGGCCTCCGTGCAGCCAAAAAACGCCAGCACACGCTGGTTGTGCGGATCGCACAAGTTGTGCCTTTTGTAGCAACGTTCCCCGTACCAGCAATTCCCTTTAATGTACGAAGGACACGCATGCAGTCGACGGCAGCGCCCTTCACATCCACCTGGATTGCGCCAAAAGTCGCGACAAATAGTAAGCCGAAGAGGCCACTCGGTCAGAACCTCGGCCAGTGTCTGCACCACCAAGGAGGCGGGCTCGTTGGCCATGTCGGCCTCTCGGAGCACCTTGAGGTTGTGCTCTCCATCGGTGACGCTGTGGCTCAGCTCACACTCGTCCTCCGTGCACCTACCGAGCACATATGGGTAGCACAGGTGTAACCGGCGGCATCCGCTGGACGCACACTCGTTCGCGTTGTATGTGTAGCACAAGTTGATACGCACCCCGCGCATTTTGCGCTGCATGCTGGTTAACACCAGATCGAGATCATCCTTGCCCTTAAAACCCAAGTTCTCAAGGGTCATGATATTTCTGGGTGTTTCCAAAGTGTGCGACCGGGAGCACTCCTTGTTTAAGCATTCCCTGATGAGAAAGTAATAGCACAAGTGCAAATCTTCACAACTTTCTCGGGAACATCCACATTTTTTGTTGTAATTTCTGCAGAGCAATGGGAGAGGCCTTCGGTGATTTTTCCCAGTGTCGGTTGACATCTTCGATGATCTGGAACACAAAGAGAATTATTAAATGACCTTAAGGTTCTGCTACTGTACGTAAATGTCATGGATCCTGCCTCTGTAGGTATACACTGCGCGCTTCGATTTCCTGTGCTTCACGCGTAAGGGTGTGAAAATGTTATCTTCGAAATGAAAAAGTGTCGAACACGAAATATCTCACATATATTCTTTTCCATTTCTTTCGTCAATTATACAATGAGCCAAAGGCTATTACTTGCTTATCTTTTATCGTTTAGTTCGTTTTATTAATTATTTGCTATGGATGACAGGCCCATTTCGGGGGTAGGTATGTGTAACCAGTAAAGGTAGATTTGTAGTTATTATATTAGGGGAGACCGGGAGAAGTGGAAAATTATTTTGACGTCAACTTTGAAAAATCGTAAAAGATAGAATATTTAAGATTTAAGTAAATTGATTGCATTTACTGGTGAACGGTTTATTTCTACTTCATGTTTTACTGTTTTTATGCGTGTTTGTTCACGTGTTACTTCTCAAAGTTAAATTTTAGGGAAGGTTGACAATGGGGTGAACTGGGACACGTCCAGGAAAAGTGGGACAAATGATGGGGAGAACTGGGACTGGTCAAGAAATGTGATTTAAATGGAATACAATTAAAATTTGATCACCCATCACACAGAAGAAGGTGTTTTAAAAATTGACACTTAAAGAAATCACCTCGATTATCATTTTTGAACTACACTGACGGCACTGAGTATCTTGGACAATTTTCCCATGCATTTGCATACAGGAGAACTGGGACAAGGTTTAGGCACGTTGTCCCAGTTCTCCCCAAGTCGTCATTCTTGTTTCAACTGCTCTCCCACACAAAAAGTATAGGTACATAAAAATGTTTCTGCATAATTAAGATGACTTCACTGACATCCAAAGGTGAACGGCCTGAACATTTCACATCGGTGAATAAACGGCAAATTGAATTAGAGTATGTACAATGCCAAAAAACACATTTTAGACCCCAACTCAATATCTCAGAGACAGGCAACCGGAAAAGGAAACCGCTTGGTTGTGACGCGCCCCGACTAAATTCATGAGAAAATATGCAAAGACAAAATTGTTTGTCCAATCGGTCACCCAGATATTGAAGGTGTCCCACTTCTCCCCCGCCCCAATTATCCCCACTCTCCCCTATATCTATATCTATCTATATTATATATATATATATATATATATATATATATATATATATATATATATATATATATATATATATATATATATATATATATATATATATATATATATATATATATATATATATATATATATATATATATATATATATAAAATTATATATATATATCAGGGCTGGAAAAAGTGTTTCGGTGGTTGTCGTCCAGAGGAAAACGGGCTTATTTGGTTGTCAACTCAAGATGTCTAACCTGCGCCCGCTGAGGGTCCTTGATTTCCACGCCCTGCTCGGGAGGGGGGGGGAGGGTCAAACACCCCGCCCTTTTAACTCGGATCCTGGGTCACGTAGTGACAAGCAGTACCTAAACGGCATTCGAAAGAACGTCCAAAATAAGGGCGAAAATATGACATTCGTTTTATAGGCTAAGTCAAAGGTCAGGTCACCGGAGGTCATGAAAGATATTGCCTTTCAATTTTTTTTTTTTTTAACACCGGCGCACAACTCGGGAACCAACTATATAGAGCTGTACAGCGCCGCGGTAAAGATTAGACAGCCCTTTTGACCCTTTCGGTGACCCTTCGACGGTGCCACTGGTCGACTTCCACTCACCTTTGAACAAAACGTGCTCAAGTTGGTACACTTCAGTCGTGCAGACGCCACGTACCCTGCGTGCGAATATATTATAATTCCGCTCCTTTTTGATAGCGCAGGGCGATCAGCCGTCAGGCTCAATTGTCCGACGATCCGTGTTCCTCGACCTCTGAAGTCCTGAGCCTCCATATCCTCGTGGGCATGACATGGCGTGCCCTCCCCTCGGCCTCACCAAAACATTACCGGCACTGACACGGTCCCACTCAAGATGTCCCGCCGCGGACCTACCCCCAGGCGCCACCGGGGTGGGTTTTGACGTCACAAAAGGAGCCCCGGCGGATTAGAGGGGACGCTAACTGGCCGCCGGCCGGGGGCGGCGCTGAAGGGTGCGGGCAGGGGCCGGCCGAGTCCTGGAATGTACTAGATTTGCCAGACACGTGTTGCCAGCGGACAACCACGGCGACCACTTGGCATGCCATTGGTCGTCTTTATGAGGGTCGCCGATCGGCCGTCTGAACGATGGTCGAACGACGCAGTATATACTAAATAGCTACGGGGAGTTGGAATATGTCTGTAGCTACCAGGAAATTTTCCACTGGGATGCCGCCGCGTACGGGAGGTAACGGACTCGAGAACTGCGAGTCAATGTGATGGGGAGGGACAGAGAATAGTTTGCGTGGGCAGAGGCGATTGGGTTGGGTGGGCAGAGGCGGATGGATTGCGCGCTTCTAACCGCACTAAGCGGGAGGTCTTAATCAGTTCAGGCGCGGCGCATGGTCGCCATAAGATCGTCTTCTCGGTTGTCGTCGACAACGACAAAACGATACAATTTTTCACCCCTGATATATATATATATATATATAATTATATATATATATATATATATATATATATATATATATATATATATATATATATATATATATATATATATATATATCCCACGCATTTAGGTATGTAGGTACAGTTGACTACAGAATGATGTTCCACTCCTTAGAGGCTATCAGTTGGCTGGACCGCTAAGCTTGCGAAGGTGCTGAGCCTTGGGCCCACTTTGAACTCAGCCCGTGTGATGCGGCACAGCCTACCACTCCAGGCAACTGTTCGCTCGTGAAAAGTGGAACGTCTTACGTCGTCGTCGTGTACGTCTACGATCGCTGCCTTAGGACGTGCAATCCGCCCAGCGCACTGACAGTTACCTTCAGGTGCAGGTTGATCAATGATCATCATAAATAATTTTTCGCGAAAAGTTAAGATAAAACAAATTGGCAATTGACTCTCAATATTTAACTTTTTTCTCGTGTCAGGTCAGGGGTATAAAAGGTGGAAAACACACCTTATAAGAGCATGCCGACTGCATGTCCTATACACTCTAAACTGAAACGGTTTTCTGCAGCAGTTAGCTGGTCTATCTTGATCTAGTATCTATAATATTCGCGAGTCGCGACTGACCTGAGGCGCTGACCTGCTGACACGCTGATCGATCTGACCCCTGATGGCTTGCTAAGGCGACACACTGCACAGAAGACCAAGAAACGTCGCGGTCACGAAGTCGGCTGCTGCTCTGTTGAGTCTGACGACTGACGCTCAGCGTCCCTGGACCCGGAATCAGACACGGCCGGCGCTGGCACCGGGACGGGATTTCCCCACCTTCCGGGCCCCGCGGCCGGCGCTCACCCCACTGCGACCATAGGCTGACCGGGCGTAACGCTACTGCGCAGTTCACTAGACTGTGAGCACGTCCGAGCACGTCCGAGAGCATTCTCAATTCTGTGACCGTCAGAATGTAGTGAGGGCATTGGAATGGGCATTTAAAACTGATGTGATGTCAGCTGGATTTGATATGATCATCCAGTCATTCACATAAAGTTTTTTTCCAGCTCTCAAAGCGCACGACTATTCATTACCACGAGGATCATAGGATCTCGTATTTACCAACCGTCATTGCTAGACATTTTATTTCGGAACTTATTAACACTCGTGATGTACGTAAAATGCCTAGTAATTTCAATAACCTACAACATAGGTATGAGCCACGCCCCTGGCTTGGAAATTGGAATCATAGCTGTACATACAATAGGTACACATTGTACATATGTCTGCTGTCTGTATATTTTAACCACACTCCCTATCTCTCTCTCTCTCTCTCTCTCTCTCTCTCTCTCTCTCTCTCTCTCTCTCTCTCTCTCTCTCTCTCTCTCTCTCTCTCTCTCTCTCTCTCTCTCTCTCTCTCTCTCTCTCTCTCTCTCTCTCTCCCTCTCTCTCTCTCCCTCTCTCTCTCTCTCTTCTCTCTCTCTCTTTCTCTCTTTCCCTCTTTCTCTCTTTCTCCTCTCTCTCTCTCTCTCTCTCTCTCTCTCTCTCTCTCTCTCTCTCTCTCTCCCTTTGTCAGCCTCAGCTCTCACCTTCCCTAGCTCCGGTCCGTCTGCCGGGGGGCCTCTGAATCTGACTTCAGCAGGGACAGTGGCTCCTCTGCGGTGTGTGTTTGGGCGCCAGCGGCAGCGACCCCTCCGCGGTGCCCCGGACGTCTGCAGGGGGCCTGACGGGGTGACCCAAGGTGACCGTTCCCGTACCCGTTCCACCCGGCCTGCTCAGCTGACGGACGCGATACCACACTTCCTTCGCCGGGCGCCTGACGAGTCAGCAGTTTTGGAACCGTCCATGCAGCGCCCCCGCGCGGGGGAGGGGGGGGGGCTGCACTTCCGCACCGCTCGCATCTCGTTCCTTCTCAGTTCTTGTCCCATCCCGTCTGGTCTCGTTTCGTTCCGTCCCGTCTCGTTTAGCGTCACGTTCCACTGTGTTCATATCCATCCTGTTTCATGTCCCATCCTCTTACGGATCGTCTCGTTCGGTTCCTTTACGTTCCATTCCCTCGTTGCGGTATCGCTCTTTGTCGCTATTCCGACTCGCCTCGTTTCGTCCCATTTCGTCCAGTCTGTTTTCCCTTCCCTTAACCGCCCCAGTCCATACCATTCAATTTCGTCTTGTCTCGGTTCAACCCGTTCTTCCCTGCTCCAATTATGCTACCGCGTTCAATCAGCGCTCAGTCCGTGGCATGTGGGCGTGTCGTTGAATTTACGGTCTCAGCTGGGAGGCTCGACTATGGGGCTTCCAACAGACCTCGTGACACCCGGTAGCCGGGTCATGAGGCTCGTTTTAGTGCTCGCGATGTATTGCAGCTTTGGTCTGCATAAATGCGGACGTAAAGTTATCAGCAATGGTTGCTTTCAGTGCTTCTAAGCGGTTATCTTTTTTTTTTTTTTTGCTCACACAGCTCGACAACGTACCGTGGCTGGATGGATGGAGCACGTGTTGCTCGGCTCGCATGACATCCAAAAAGATAATTTTTCGACTGACCGATCTTTAAACCCTCAACTCAGTTTGTGGTTCTTTTGACTATTGTGCTGACACATGTTTAAAGTGACCAGCCCACCTTAACATTAGTTTTGAGTTGAGATAGCCAAAATGGGGTCCCTGGCCTGGCTAGCAATTACCGGTTTCTCACAACATCGAAAAATGCCTCAAATCGAAAATATCTAATTTCAAAGTTGCAGCACTTTGATTCAAATATCTTGTAAACCGGTGAATATTTGTCGGTGAAATTTGGTAGATATTCGTTTTCGCTCTTTCTGAACCGAGCAACATCACTTTCATGCCGATTCATTAACTTTTTTAAAGGTGGGAGGGCCCCTTTAAGCTCATACAAAACGTGTATTTTGCATATAGCCGCGTTCTTCCAAACGTATATTTTCCAACATCTTACACACACACAACGATCGGCCGCGAGAAGCGATGTGTTACACAACAATGTGCAGGTGCATATTATACGTACAGCTAGGGCCAGCCTGGCCTTTTGACACCTGATTAAACAGCCCTTGGGTGCACGATTCCGCCAATTAGGCTACACTGTTCGAGTATGTATAATTATATGCAATTAAACGTTCGCTGCAGCACATGCAAGCACTGTGCTTACTGCTTGGACACAGCACATGCCTAATAGGCTCACTGCTTAGTCACGTTCTGTCTCCACCAGTCCCTCTACATATGTAGTTTGAGTCTCCCATTCTTTCAGTCTGCAGTCAGTCTCCGCAATCAGCTTTGACCCACATATGCTACAGTTGAGACAACTTTGTCGATAGACGAGAGAAACAGTGAGTAAACACGTCGAAAGACCACAGCATCACAAATTTCAGACTCTTTAGCGCTCCATCAACACCATCGAAGGTCAGCATGGAGGTCAGGCTAGAAATATAATGCATGAATAGAACAGGCAACGAACGTATCCTTTCCTTCAACAACGAACAAACCAAACCGACAGAGACTGACTAGCCACAAGACGCATAACATGCTGTTTGGTATATAATTTCTCCAGTTTTGTTTCCAAACATTTTCAATACTGATAACATGGATCCACAAATAGCTACCGGTATTGTGGATTTACACCAAAGTCCGAAGATACGACTTTGGTATCTTATGTGCGTCACATCACAGCTCACGAGTGGCTCGGTGCAGCGACAATGAAAGCCATGTTACGAGATTCCCAAGTTGCCGGCAGTTGGCAGGACCGGCAGACTCGAGAGGGCGCCACCCTTCGTGGGCCGTATGAGGGACCAAGCTGTAGATTATAGGTGTATAAACAACATTTCAGCATCGCTCAGAGGAACGGCACACTCCTGCACTCCAGCACAATTGCAATGCTGCCCACAAAAGATATAGGTAATCAACAATGAGAAGTAGAACAGCAATGAGACTACTTCCTTTCAAAATACGCGTAGGTACGGTCATAGCAGTACGACCATTTGAATAATACATCTACCGTACACACAACAGAAATCCATCAGAATTCTAAAAATGTTCTTAATTCTCGAACATCTACCAGCTAAAATATGTCGCAGAGAGACTACAGCACGCAACAAGCACATTCCTACCTCTAATTGGGAGCTATGGACCGCCGAGGGGCTGGGGTACGTATGTACCACTCTGGTGTGGAAGAGGAAGAGAGAGAGAGAAAAAGAGAGAGGGGGAAAGGAGGGGGAGAGAGAGAGAGAGAGAGAGAGAGAGAGAGAGAGAGAGAGAGAGAGAGAGAGAGAGAGAGAGAGAGAGAGAGAGAGAGAGAGGAACAGAGAGGAACAGACAGACACAGCACAGCTGAAAGCCAGTCACCGTCTCCTTTCCGGCACTACTTTTTCCACTCCATTGAGTCCATACCCTAAGGGCTGGAGTGCCGTCCGGCCGTCCGACAGCTCAGCAGATCCTCAGACACCCAGCGCCCCTTCCTGCCGAGGCCCTGGGGCCGGTCAGTGCCGGGACGAGTCCGGCTCCTCCTGGGGTACTGCGCGCCGACGGGCGTCCTTCGCCCACTGCTGCTCCTCGCCCGACGCGAACAGCAGGTACTGCACGCCGTGGAACACGAACAGGCCCGAGGTGACGAAAAAGATGATCCTCCATTGCGACACCGTGTTCTGGAGGCCGAAAGAGTATCCGGGGAGAGTTAGATTGTGATGCCAACGTTCCTTGTGATAAATATCCCAATTCCCACATGGTCCAGTATGAATCGTAATGAGGCAGTTACCGACGCACAGTTGATGAACAAATTATTGTACTTGAAACGTGCTATGATCCACCCATAAATCAGTTCACTAATCGCACGATAGATGGCGCCAGTAGTGTGCGCCTGCAGTTATGCTGCACCGCAGTGCTCGAAAAGGACGACCGATTATACAACGGCCTTACCAGTGCGCGGAAACGCTCCCAGAAACTGAGTGCACAGCCCAATGAGCTAGACTAATCCACGACTCATGGAAGAAAAAGAGTACTTAGGTCAAAATGCTGCATGGGAAAGATCGATTGCCCTAATTGCATGCAAGTGGTATAGGTGTGCAAGCAAACGGATGAGTGGCGTTTGATGAATCAGCGGCTCCCGCGCCTGTCACACTATTTGTTTGTTCTGCAATTACCGGTGCACCTGACTCACCTCCTCGTGAATGAGAGCGCCGACGAAGCTGGGCACCAGCATCCCCGGCACGGTGGCAGCAGTGTTGGTGATGGCCATCAGAGTACCTGCGAGCCAGTTAGAGAGAAATGAGAATAATCCTCAGATAAAACGACGCCAACTTATCTATGATGTAACAGGCGCCTCCCCAGGTGATGTTTCAAAGTCATACACTCGCTGCCAAAGCCTTAGTGCGATATTTGTCACTTTTGACGCGGCTGTTGATGTTTATCAGATATGTCTAGGCAGTTGGTATAAATACTGCCCATGTAAAGCAATGTTTTTTGGCCGGCAGTAATAGCACACACTAAATTATCGCCACTAAGCACTCAGGCTCCGTATAAAAATCTCACCATTCGGCTTATCCCGGAAATTCATTAGACTGTCTTTTCAGGGATGCTTGCATCATTCGCCGTTTAGGTATATTTCTTAATTCCTAGATAATCAGCCACCCTGGCAGCTGACACCGATCCGCAACGCAATCAACTCAAGATGACCTCATCCGCACTGACGGAGCCGGATATGAAATTTCAGCGCGGCACTCCGTCTGTGCATCGCCTGCCCATTTCTCGGTGCGTCGCACGCCAGTCGAGGCCGGTGTTTACCGAGCGGCGCCAACCACCGGCTGCCAGAACACCGATCAATGGCACCGTTCTCTCTCTGCAGGTCTCAGGGTCGATAGGTGCAGGTGGGTGGTGACTACAGCACTCTGGAACGCTGCGCCAGCCCT